CAGCAGAATCTTGAAAGTTCAAAGAGATGTGCATAAACGTATAGGAAAGTAGACTCCAGCCCACAGAGGAGGATCCAAGTATTGATTCTGGATTACAATAAGCACCAAGCATTTCCATGAGAGAAGAGAAACATTAGCACTTAGACTGCCTCTGAGAAGCAGAGGAAATTTCTCAGAGCTGAGGGTGACTCTCCCCAGAGCCCCTGCAGGGCTACATCTTCAACTTCACGTGACATGTAGTGAATTATTTCTCATAGGAAGCTACTGGGTTGACAGCCAGCCGCCTTACACATGGTGTCTCCTGAACAGCTGCACTGGATGGAGAAACAGTTGCCTTGAGTTCTCCTTTGATTCTGCATAAAGTCAATCAGGTTTGCCATGGCTGAGTGGGGAACTGAATCAGTAGCACTAAATTATCTAATGGAAACTTTGTTTATGATCCAGTATAGAAAAGCTGCTATTGGTTGTGTATTCTTTACAAGTAGAATACAAGTCTGTATTTGTACAGTAGAATGCTGCTATAAATCTAAAGTAGCTCTGTAATTCCTTCAGTTCTGTGAGAATCCTTGTCAGGAACTGGTGGTGGCTAGAGTGAGTAACCACAATGATATTCTGTTACACGTAATATTATTTCTTCCAAGAAGTTGCTTGGTTGTGCTGCTGGAAGTTGGCACAGAAAGAAGATCTGAAAGGACTGCAAACAAAGGGGTTTCCTGGCTGCAGGCTGTCCCCAGGGGATCTTTGATGGTAACACCTCAGGTTCTGAGAATGGGTGTAGAGAGCCGCCCTCTATGTGGCTGACTTTTCGGGACAGTTGATGCCAACTCTTAATTATGTTGATTTTTTTTTTCTGAAATTTATTTTTCACTTCCAGGACCTAATAATCAAAGTACACAGAACTCAGTTCCACTGTCCTGCAGGCTCCCAGCAAGCTGTGCCCTGATGCTTCCTTCTATTTCTCCAGCTCTTTGGCTGAAGATCCCTGTATAGTGTTCTTGCTGTTGTAACTGCAGATTTCCTTGAATGTTTTTATTCCAACCTTGCTTTTCTAATACTTTTGAAAACCTGTCCATGCCTTTTCTATTTCTTTTCGTGTTTCATTGAAATTTACCCCCCTTATTTCTACTGAAGAAAATACTTAATTCAGCGTCTTCTTTTCTCCTATCTTTTTCAAGAAAGGGAATTTTAAAATGCAGTGTTGCTTTACTTTCTGATTAGTGTAATATGACTGCATTTCCCCAAACATAATTAAAAACTAAAGTTCTTTCCTAAAGAGTTGTTTTCAAATCTTTTGTTAAGTCTTCTATTTTTAAAATTTCTTCATTTTTAAAGCACTTGACATCATTTTAAGAAGTTTTCAGAGTCTTTAAACCCTCCCTGTGTGTACGCTTTAACTTGCTCTTTTACTTGAACTCTCATCCCACTCTAGCAAATGGAAAGTATTGATGCATGCATGACAAACTATTTTTAATATGAAAATATCCTCATCTTGCGGACTTGGTGACTTCTGTGACCAAAAAGCCTCATTGTTCTGTCCCATCCATGAAGAATTCTTGATATTTCAGTTTCTTTATTACCTACTTTTCAATGATCCCTTCTTAATAGTTAAATTTTTTGTAGTCTTACCTAGTTCTAGAATCTTGATAATTTGTTTTACCTATATGTGATATTTTATTTCTTGAGTTTACAAGGCTTACATCACGCTAAGTTTCTGATATGCAGAGAAGGTATAGCCAAAAAACAAATAACAATTTAAAAAGAAATTTTAAAAACAAATAACAATAAAAAAAGAAAAAGAAAAAACACAGAAAAGATGTAGCTGATTTATAGTGCCATTGACTGCAGGGACCAGACGTCTTAATTTGCTTCAAACAGTCCTTGCTTACACAAGTTGCCCTGGCATTTTATCTGGTTTAGGATTTGTCCTACATTTTTTAGTTTTCAAAGGAAATATTATTGTTAATAGTTGTATTAGGAAAATCGAGAATGGGCATGTAGACAATTCTTTCCATTTCTACCATAGTTTCATCAAGGCATGTGAGTTGCATAAGCAACAAACAGAATCCTTTTTTTTTTTTTTTTAGAATTGTCTTTTTTCTGTGTGGTTAAATCTGTAAGAAAACCAACAATACCACTCTCTTTTCTCCAATACTTAAAAGGCACAACATAACTAGCACCTTCCTTTCAAGGGCAGTGTGCAACCTGATCACTGATAAAGATCACTCCTACTTGGATAGGAGTAGTGGAGATGACTAACTCCTTCCAGTCTCAGGTGGACGTGGAAGAGGCACTGCAAGCTACAGCTCCGACCAGCAACTCTTCCCACCATAGTAGGGTCAGTGGAGAGCACCTGGATGCATTGGTTAATGCACTAACACATTAGGAGGAGAAGAATTTCTCAGAGTTAAAATAGTGATACCAGTCTTATAAGCCAGTTTATAATACCGTTATTATATTAGCTCACCAGATGCAGAACACCAATTAATTTATGTAAATAATTTTAATTTTTTAAATTCAATTCATAGAAGTAGCCTAAGCCTTTTAATTTTTTTTTTTTAAGACAAAACCTGGCTTTGTCTCCCAGCTTGGAGTACAGTGGCACAATCTGGGCTCACTGTAACCTCCACCTCTGCCATCTGGGCTCAAACCATCCTACTTTAGCCTCCCAAGTAGCTGGGACTATAGGCACAAGCCACCACACCCAGCTAATTTTTGAATTTTTTTTTAATAGGAATGGGGTTTTGCCATTGTTGCCCAGCTGGTCTCAAACTCCTGAGCTCAAGCAATCTGCCTGCCTTGGCCTCCCAAAGTGCTGGGATTACAGGCATAAGCCACTGCATCTGGCCTAACATAAGCCTCTTTTTAATTTTATCTTTTATTTCTTTTATTTTTATTGTTTTTGGAAACAGTCACCCTCTGTCCCCAAGGCTAGAGTGTAGTGGCATGATCTTGGCTTAATGCAGCCTCCTTCTCCCAGGTTCAAGTAATTCTCCTGCCTCAGCCTCCGAGTAGCTGGGATTACAAACATGTGCCACCACACCCAGCTAATTGTTTTGTTTTTAATAGAGATAGGGTTTCACCATGTTGACCAGGCTGGTCTCAAACTCCTGACCTCAAATGATCTGCCCACCTTGGCCTCCCAAAGTGCCAGCATTACAGGTGTGAGCCATTGCGCCTGTCCAGCATAAGCCTTTTAGATGTTCATTCTGTCCAAGGTAAAACTCTGATATTATTTTAAATCCTGTTATAATCTAATTAAGAAGTAAATATTAAAGCTAAATTTATTTGTTTTGTGGAAATAATACAATATAAATTTTATGAAGTACAACATATGAGTAAAAAAACAACAAAAAATATTCTTACTAAGCTAAAAAAATATGTGAAGCAGAACCGTATTTGGAATTCAAATGCGTAGGAAACTTATAACTGCATCCTAATAAAGCTGCACTATTTTACCAATGAAAACAGAAATTCTAAGTCTTTTCAGAATTTATATATACGTGTATACACACATATTTAGAGTAAATAAAATAGAATATTTTTGTGATGAGGCTGATGTTGAAAACAAAAAGAACTTCAACATTACATTTTCTCTCCTTCCCTTAGTCAATCTGAGTTATGAGTTTCTCAGTTTTTAAAGAACTGCTTTGTAAATCAACCTAAGTTTCTTACAATGGCTATGAATATTTTTCTAAATGAATCGTCTACATTTTAGCTGCATTACATTCAAGATCAATTGAAAAACTTAAATTGATTATTCAACAAACCAAAGCATGCCCCCCCCAAAAAAACTTTCAAAGCTCTTAGTAAAATGCAGTAATTAAAAGCTTACAGAAAACATTGAACTATATCCTCACAAAAGCAAAAGAAGACAAATGAAATGAGAACTCAAAATGTTGTACAAGTTTTGATTTTTTAATTTTATGATTTCCCTTTGAGATATCTTGACTTGAGAAAAGACATTTTAGAATGGAGCCCCAGTTTTTAGTTGGACAACCATATTTTCTGCACCAGAAGGAACAGAAGTTGATTTGAGAAGACTTAAAATTTTCTAGCATCTGTATTTGGTAAAAAGAATCATAAATAGATACAATTTATGGGTTTTGTCTTATAAAATTTTTGCCAAAAAAAAGATACTCTATATGGAGGCAAAATTACAGTATCTGGGAAAATATGTGGGCCAAAATATACTATGCATATCCTCCACTTAGCAAACTTGCTTGGCATTTACACATGCGCACACAGACACATACACACACACTCCTGAGAGTTCAGTTTTCCTCCATGCGTACCTGTATGTCTGTTAATGTTAGAGTGCTGCAATACAACCAAATCTTGGTTTAAAGTAAATAGTATCTTTAATGGACTATGAAACAGGAGAAACAAAGATAATACATGTACGTTAGAATTGGGAGAAGAAAAGATTGAGGCTTTGGTAAAACCAAAAGAAACTGGAAAGAATATTACAAAGATGAGAAGTCTATACAGACAGCCAGTTACTCTGCCATTAGGGAGGTAATGAAACGTTTGCAAAAGGCAGATGCCTATTTCTTGGAGGTGGCTTGGGGACAGAGGCATGGAGATATATTATCTGGCTTCTCAAATGCCTTTCTAATGATGCAAAACATATTCTTAAGGAAAAAAAAGGATTTTGGCAACAAGAGGAGACAGTATATCTTTCGATATGTAGGGAGAAAGGGCATGTCTGTATGCCTAAGGACAAACACATTATTTAAAATTTCATACCTTTTAATATTACATCATTTCTTACTGAAACCAATGACAACTTATTTTTCAGAGCTTAGGAATCCATTTGTGTTTCTTAAATTCCCCCTTTTGGCTCATTGACAATATTTTTAGTATCCTTTTTACTAAACATTTTTTTTTCATTTTATGGTGAATGGATACTTTTATCAACTTTGCTCTTATGTATTCTACTTTAAACATTTAGTACTGTATTTTTACACACTTATTCATATTAGCCTATGTTATATTTTCAGTTGATTTCATAGGTGGACTTGATACCCACTCCTACTACCAGGATCATGTTGAGTTAAAGCCTGTTAAACCAGTAAGTAAAGGTGTGATGATATGGAAAATATTAATCCTTCTAACTCAGCCAAAACTAACCAAACGTGATATAATTTGAACCTACTACTAATAATAATTGGTTTAATTTTTCACTCATTTAAAACACAACTTTCACATGTAACCCAACATCGTCATTATTATTATTCATTCCAAAAGGGATTTGAAGCTGGTGACATGATCTATATTTCAAATACCATAATTTTATCTTATTGCCCTTATCAATAGTTGGTTACCAAATTTTTTTTTTGAATGAGATTATTTAACCTGCAGGAATGAAGACTAAATATGTGTCCTGGGGCAGCACAGCAAAGTAAAAAGGAAAGAAAGGGCTGCAGTGAATCCAGGCCCTCCATGTGAGGTCCAGGTGCCTTCCTCAGTGTCCCTGAGACTTGTTCTATCACCATACTATGGTTTCGAAGGCGGAAAAATAAGACAATGTGTGTATGGTATAGGTAAAGTTGCCTATTACTGTTCCTAGTACTCAAACCTTTGACTAACAAGTTCAGGAACAAGTTTTCTATGTTCCTGGAGGATATGGAAGGAACTCAACAAAAACCAAACCACCTAAAACTGCTTAGATTTCAGCTGAGTACAAGAAAGAAATCTTAGTCACTGATTAATAAAATACTAGGAAACATGGAAATAGATACACTGACTCCATTCCTAGAAAATTCCAACTATCACATATTCAACTGTGTAAATTAATAAAGCTATCATACACTAACCACTTTGCATATGTTATCTCACTTAATCTTCATGAAAACACTGCAATGTACTAATTAATATTCCCATTTTATAAATAAGAAAACTGAGGTTCATAAAGGTTAGGCAACTTTCTCAAAGTCCCACTATTATTGAGTTGTGGAGCTGAGATCTTTCCTAGGTGGCAAACTGTCACCCAACCTGATATGATGGACTTGCTCAGAGGATCTTTTGTTCTTTCAGCTCGGTGTTCTGTAATTCCGTGGTGATAGAAGAAATTATGTAAAATAGTTGCTTGTATAACAAACACATGTGAAAAGCTTCAACCGTTGCCTCTTTGCCACAGTGGTTCTACCCCAGATATGCAGCCTACACACTCAGCATCTGTGAGGATTGAAGCTCTGAGAAGGCTACACTGACCCCTCTACCTCTCCAGCTTCAATTAACTTTATCCTGGCAAAATGATCTAAAGTAACATCGCTCGCAGGCAACAGAAATCAGCCTTGTGCCTGTCATACGATAGATGCTTAAATAAATTTTGGTTTCTTAAAGCAAATCCAATTTGGAAAAAAACATTCACCCTATATAACATTCCAGAACCAAGCAGTCACCGCCTCATTATTCATACCCTGAGTACTCCCAAATGATATGCTCCAAAAGTTGATATTTGTAGATTTTGGGAAACTTGTCAGGGATTATGACAATAATTAAGATGATTACTGCATTGGAAGTGAGAAAAGAACTAAGACAATGCCTAGTGGTGACTTAGAGAGTCTTTATATATTTGTTATGTGATAAGAGGATGATGAATGGTTTATTTCATCTCCACTGTGGAAAAAAAAAACTCAGCAGAGAAATTGCAATATGAAAAATGCTGCAATGTAAGAGAGAGCTTTCTATTAGGGAAAGTTATTAAAAACTGCTTTTGATAAATGTCGATAATAGAATTTTCTTCTTAAATCACTTTTAAAAACTGGATGCCCATGTACCTATGTACCTCAAAAGGGTGTTCTGTGGCATGGCCCAGAGGCAAGTGACTTCCACTTATGTTCTCTAAAGTCACTTCTGTCTCTGTGAATCAAGAACACCAAAACATGCTTTTAAGATCACCTAAAAGGCTTTGATCAACTCCACTCTCTGCTCCAAGGGTTTTCTCAGCGTCCCTGTTCACCGCTGACGTAGCAGTGGATAGCTGAATATAGCATAAACTACAAGCTATTCTCTACAGAAAGCAATAGAACAAGTTTCTACTTTGACAGATTATGCATATTATCATGTCAGATGAATATGGAATGCCTTTCAACCATGAAGGAAGCAAAAATCTGAAATATCAAACTAAGCCTGAATTGAAATCATTGTGCATGAAACAATTTAAGAGGTCAGTATCTGTACTCTCCACCGGTGTGCAAATACTGCAGCATTTATCCAGTCTGCCTCTATCAGTTTACTTGATTTCTTTTAATAAGGCCATTATACTAAATTCCACTGAACCCAATGATGCCATATCACTACCCAGCAACAGCTGGGAGAAAAAGCTGTTGCTGGGTAGTGAGAAGTTTCCAACCTTCTGTGTGAAATTGCTAGAGAGGGCAATGAAAGCTTGCTTTGACTTTCATTAAGCCTCTTTTATCTCCGTGAAGTACAAAGTCAGGCTTTGTGAGGAAGCCACTTTATTAAGGGAATCAGAAGAATCCTTAGCATATTCTCAAGCACATGTATGTGAACAGGTAGCTTTGAACTCCATATGGATAGTTTCCAGCCAACAGCCTATTCTAGGTAATACTGCAGAATTGTACAGGAAGCCTTAATGCTCATGTTTGAGAGTGTCACTGCTCATAATCACAACGTGCACCTTTCAAACTGCCCACAGTCAAATTGTATGTGGATGTGTATACAGGAAGTGGGGTTGGGATAGGGGTAAGGTGGTTCACATATGGATTTGGTCTTTCATGTTTTGTTTCTTTCTTTTTAAAGTAATGATATCAAGCTGTCAATGCCCACTGATTACATCAATCAGTTTAGTTCACTTTACAATCACTGATTGATTGCCTACACTGAGCAAACCGGGCACATCCTGAGTGCTAGAGATATAAAGATAAATAGTACTTGAGTTTTGACCTTCAGCAGCCAATGATCTAGGAGGAGAGATCTACAAAGAAAGGGTAGAAGCAAAACAATATCCCAAGGAAATTTTATGCAAGAGGGGGAATGGTTAATTCTTGCTTGGTGAGGAAAGGCTTCCCTGGGAAATAACAGTTGAGCTACTTTGAAAAGATGGCACAAAATTTATCAAAAGTAGAATACATATAACTACACTGGAAGATACTTTGGCAGTTTCTTACAAAACTAGGCTTACTTTTACCATAAGATCTAGCAATCGAGCTCCTTGGTATTTACAAAATAGCGAGCTCTTTGGCTCACACAAAAATCTACACACAGATATTTATAGCAGCTTTATTCATAATTGCAAAAACTTAACAAAGAACCAAGATATCCACCGTAGCTGAATGGATGAACTCTGGGACATCTATACCATGGATAATTTGGTGCTAAAAAGAAATGAGCTATCGCATGATGAAAAGAATGGAGATTTAAATGCATGTTATTAAGTAAAGAAGTCAGACTGAAAAAGCTACATACTATATAATTCCAACTACATGGCATTTTGAAAAAGGCAAAACTATGGATACAGTAAATAGATCAAGAGTTGGGGGAGGAGAGACATGAATAGGCAGAGCACAGAGGATATTTAGAACAATAGAACTTCTCTGTATGACACTGGAATAATGGACACATTTCAGCATACATCTATCCCAACTCATAGAATGTACAACACCAAGAGCGAATCCTTATGTAAGTGATGGTCTTCGAGTGACTATATCCACGTAGGTTCATCAGTTGTAATACATGAAACACACTGGTGGGGTATGCTGATAATTGAAGAGGCTGTGCAAGGGCAGGGGCAGGGGCAGGGAGTATATGGAAAATCTCTGTACCTTCCTCTCAATTTTGCTGTGAACCTAAAATTGCTCTTAAAAACTTAAGACTTTAATGGGGGAAAAAGCAGCAGAAGAAACCAGGTATCCCCAGCATGGAGGCTGATTCACTTGGCCATTCTACAGAAGACAAAGTTGAAGCTCATGACTCTCTAATCTGGTGTTTGCCATAGTTCTTGTATAAAGGGAGTGAACGGCTAGGAAGCAGAGGCGTAAGCAGAGCAGGAGTCGACAGCTCCTGGTGAAGACACTAAGAGACCTTCAGCAGCCATGGCTCCACCATTATGTCTAAAGCTATTGAGATGCTTTCAGTGGTGGTTATCTGGGTCTGCCTTGGGGACATGTGACACATAGGACAGGGGTAATTTGTGCAGGGGCTCACACAGCTACCAGTGGGAACAGTGTAACTCTCACCGTAACTGCCATGGAGTCTTCACTCCATCACTGCCCCCACTCACTGACAGCACCTCCCATGAAAGGACAGAAAGACTGCTCTTATCATAAGAATGCAGAGCCCAGCGGTCAGCAGTGGCTTTGAAGAGGACACTTGCACATCAGCTTATAGTAGGGGCAGAAGAAACACCAAGAGAAGAGGGTTAACAAAAGCAGATTTACCCCTCTGGACGAAAAATAGCATGGCACAAACATATGCAACTATCGAAGTGATATGGAATTTCAGAGAAACATCATAGAGAGCAACTAAATTGAAGTTTGTCAAAATCATGACTTGTATATTTCCATCCAAATGGTTAGCAACTGGATACCAGGAAGATTAAGCTCCGTGTAGCAGTAATTCTTCACATAAAAATAATTAGAGCAAGGCAGTTTATCAAAGAAGGACAGCAGCTGGAATTCCAGAACCAACTTCTGCAACAAAGGTAGAGCTGGATCTGATTATGTCAGAAATTTCCATGAGGATGATGCCGATGACTGCAGTTAAGAAAGACTCGAGGAGAGCTGACCTGAGATTCCTCCATAACTTTCAGCAAATCTTTTTCTAAGGCTTCCAAATGAGAACCTGGCTTTTCTTTGGTATCTTAACTTGTCTGATTGCCTTTGCTGGAGGCTAATTTTTCTTCACAGAAACTGCTACATGCTGTGTGGCCACTGTGAATTGAGGGGCTGCTATTGCAGCTAAGTACTAGACACAGCAAAGGCTAATCCCTATTTCAGGGTAGCCCTGCCGCCAGCTCCACAGGTACTTTGACTGCCTGTTCTCTGTCTCTGACAGTCCAGGTACACAGGAAAACCACCTCTGATGATCAGGCTGGAGGACAGTTGCAGAGATGGTCAACTCTCTCTGCTCTTTCCTGAGAACAGCTGTTCGGTATTACTCCCCCATATGTAAGTAGGGATCAGGCCATTTTGCATTTATAGCATGTAGATGAAGCACCAGCTAATAGGACAAAGCAGGGTGTGTGTGTGCTTGTGTGTGTGTGTGTAGGAGTTGGGAAGGTAGAGTGATGTGCTTTCAAACCTTGATTTAAAAACCAACAGTCACCAGCCATGTGCTAGTAAACTGCAGCTGGAGGCACCTGAAGAGAAACAGAATGATAACTCTCTCTCGATACTCTTTTCATTTGTCCTTGATTAGCCTTCACATCTTATATTTATCCAGACAGAGTGCAACACTGAGCTATGCAAAATTCTGCATGCTGTCTGTCCCCTGTGGCATGCAGAGTAACGTGACTGTGATCCACCCATATCAATGGCTGTCTCACTGTTCCCACTACTGAGCATGGAGGCCTATTCCCTGAGGCTCACCATCAGTCCCTGGAAAGGAAGGGACTTAACAGAGGCATTAACTCTCCTGTGCTGTCTCAAGAGCACTACATCTGTAATGCACTGAACACCTTCTTAGTTGTCCCGAAGGAAAGACGGGCTTCCCTGTGTGCCTGCCTTAGCACAAATGCAGTGACATTTAGGGCTCATTATTCTTCTAACTTTGGACCTCTTTCCTTTTGTCACTGACAGTAATAACTTTTTGATGCATCCTAACAATGGTATACCATGTCAGGGACTACTGTAAGAACACATCCTGATGTGTAGTTATTTAGCCATGTAGCAGTGAAATGGCTGTGTTTATATGGCTTATGCAGTTCAGACTTACCACCGTAGTAGCCAGTTTGTGCACTTTTGTCTTTGTTAGGAAGGAACGATGCCACCAAGAGTGCAAATGGCAGCATGCAAGAGGATTTGCTGTGACCGGTGGCCAGTCGGTGGCCAGTCATCCACCCTAATCTCTTTTTTTAATAATAATTTTAAAAAACCACCTTTACAGTGAGAGTTAAACTGAAGTTTTACCAGACATCTGAACACCATGGCCTGGCCAAGCTGACACATAAAAGTAGTCATCGCAGGATGGGATGTGTGTAAGGGACATAGGTCAGTGGTTGAGTGCTATGAAAGCAAGGGTAGGATGATCTTGAGCACTTCACCGCCAGCATGCTGTAGAAAGAACAGGGTATGCAAATATCTAGTCGTTTGGGGACACAACACTACCCTGCTATCTTTACCCTTAAGGAAAGCAATGGCAACAACGCCACATCACACCACAATTGCTGTGTGGTTGGCACTTCTCTTAGAAAATCATTCTGCACTCTGATGACGATGCCCAGTTCCCACGCCCTAATCTGAAAAGCGGGAGGGCCCAAGTCTCTAACTTTCTTATTGTTACAGTCAGACAGCACCAGGTGCACCCAGGACCTGTTCTGCATTTCAAAAGGCCTGGATGAATATAAAAGTTATTTCGTTGTCAACTTTCAAGTTCTTGAAAGCCATTCGTATTTTCTGTTTTAGGTCGAAATAAGTAATGACATTGAACCAGAAATGCGGCTGCTGAACTTGACTTAGGGAGCAAAGCACCACTGACTGACTGCGAGCCTCGGTGGATCCAACCTGCCTCACGTTCCTTCCACGGGCTGAACTGTGCTTCCCAGCTTTCCCACGAATCATGGAGTTCTTCAGTCATAGCCTTTGTATTATTAGCATTGTTCTCTAGATGAGTTTTAGGTACTTGGGTGGGTATTTTTTTAGTCATTTTCTTCTTATATGAACACTTGCAAATTGCAAAAAAAAAAAAAAAAAGAAAAGAAAAGAAAAAGTAAAAACAATTTGGTTTTAAATTTTTAGCAATATTTAATATGAGGCATGCAAAATGAAAAAGCAAATTTCTGAAAATCTTCTTTCTATCTACAGTCAATTCTAAGAGAAATCTCAGTGTGTGTCATGGAGATGTTAAATCAGCACTGCTGGCTGTTGAAGTTATTCTAGGCCTGATGAATTTGTTCTAGCAGACGTTACCTGTGGTTATCAGCCACCAAGGTAGACCCTGTAACAACTGATAAATGGGTACAAGTAATGGATCTAGCTTTCACATTGAATATTGATCAGTTTTTTAACACCACACACCAAAACATGAAGTCCTCCTTTGTTCTTCACTTCTTAAAACCCAGAACAATATTACAGCAATCTAAATTTTCAAATTCTTGCATATCTTGTTCTTCCTATATTCTGAAAAACAATATATATGTATACACACATACATATACATGCACATTGTGGGCACATGGAAAAGCAGAAGGATTAATAGAGCCCCTTTCTCCTTTGGAGGGAATGTGGTTGTCTCTGAGGTTCATATTTTCTACTCATTATTCCACTCCTGACACTGGTGTCAGACCTAAACATACAGCTCATGGGCTTGTGGAACAGAAATCGCAACCATAGACCTCCAGTCAAGAACTTTGCTCTTGGGATATTCAAAACAAGCATTAAAATGCTGTGGCATGCTCTATCAATACTTCTAAAGGAGACATTTATGTTTGAGCAAACATTAGCCTTTCTTTCTCCTACCCCAGCCCAATAACCAAGAAAATGATATAGGAAGGACTATCTTGAAAACGCATCACAGTTGTGTTTTTTTAATTGGCATAAAATTTATATACATATGGTAAAATTCACAAATATTGATGGTACAATTTGATTAGCTTTGATTACACACTCATGTAACCAAAGCCTCAATCAAAATGCAGAACATTTCCGTCGGTTTAGAAAATTCCCTTATGCCCTCTTTCAGGCAATGCCTACATTCTTATAGACAACCACTGTGCTAATTTTCATCATCACTGATAATTTTGTCTGTTCTCAATATACAATATATACTCTTTTCACATCGCTTTTGCTCACACTTCTCAATCACCACTTTTTAAATGAAAATAAGTTTTGCTCACTTTGTGTAACAACCACAGTGAAGCTCCCTATGGGCCAGAAAGTTGTGTATACGTGGTTATTAACTCAGTCCGTGCATCTATAAGAAGTCAGTCTATGAACCATCTGAAACTGTTACAAATGTTTGTATGTGTGTAAAAGTCTTTTCTTTCTTGTTCTTCTTTTGGAGGCTATAGGTTTCATGAGA